AGGAGGGCTGAGGCGGAAGGATTGCCGGAGCCCAGCAGGTCGAGGCTGCGGTGGCCGGGAGCGGCCACTGCACTCTAGTCTGGGTGACAGAGTGAGACTCCAACTCAAAAAACAAAACAAAACAAAACAAACAAAAAAATTATTTTGGAGGACAAGATTTCACTATGTTGCCAAGGCTGGTCTCAAACTCCTGGGCTCAAGCAATCTACCTGCCTCAGCCTGTCAAAGTGCTGGCATTACAAGCGTGACCCACCACACCTGGCCTGATCTTTTTTTTAGATGTACATATCTAAAAAAAGGCCTGACACACACATTTAATTTTAAAAGTTCCTTTCCAAATTTAAAATATGGTCATTAAAAGAATCCCTCTGTAAACTTCTCTAAAGAATAATTTCAGCCAATGATATGAAAGGACTTATTTGGAAAAGTATCATTTTGTAACCCCACCAATGAAATAATGGATCTAGACAAAGAATACTGTTGGCTGAAACCACAGCTCAGTGGTTCTTAAGCCAGGCTACACATTAATATCATCTACAGAGTTTTCAAAAATGTCTTTCCAGATCTCATGAAAGACCAAATATTCTCCAAGTGTGTTCATAAGACCACCAGGAGCAATACCTGGAACCTGTTAGAAATGAAAATTCTCGGTCCTACCCCAGACCTTCTGAATCAGACTTTGGATATGAGGCCCAGCAAAATGCCTTTCAGAGCTGGGCGCCATGGTTCATACCTGTAATCCCAGTACTTTGGGAGGCTCAGGTGATAGGACTGCCTGAGCCCAGGGGTTCAAGACCATCCTGGAACTTGGCAAGACCTTATCTCTACAATAAATCAAAAAATTAGCTGAGCATGGTGGCACATGCTTGTAGTTCCAGCCACTTAGGAGGCTGAGGCAGAAGATCACCTGAGCCCAGCAGAAGATCACCTGAGCCCAGCAGGTCAAGGATGCAGTAACCGTGAGCGTGCCACTGCACTCTGTGCAGTGACAGAATGAGACTTTGACTCAAAAAAAAAAAAGTCTTTCAAGTGATTTTATTGCCTGCTAAAGTTTAAGGACTACTGTCCTAGATGAAATAAATCAGAATCTCTGAGGTGAGGCCCAAACATCACTATTTTTTTTTTTTTTTTAATTTATTTTTGAGATGGAGTCTCACTCCGTCGCCCAGGCTGGAGTACAGTGGCACACTCACTGCCATGGCAGCTTCAACCTGCTGGGCTCAGGTGAACCATCTCAGCCTTCCAAGTAGCTGGAACTACAGGAACCTGCCACCACATCCGGCTAATTTTTTTTTTTTTTTTT